GTGTGTGTTAAGATTGTTGGCAGTAATTAGGTGATCTAATTTAAACGCCAAGTAATTAGCAGTTAGCTGTGTTTCGGTAAAAGTATTCCTTGTTTTGATAGACCTTCGGCTCAACAAAAGCCTTTCCAAAATAGATTTGATGAATACAAGGGTAAAAAACTATGGTGGGATATTAATTAAGTACCATGATAACAGTATCAGTCATGCATGGGAGGCCCCTGCAAAGTGCAAAATATATAGTAGCTTTCGAGTTTGGAGACTTTTTGACAACCTAATAAGTAATAACCTAACCTATTGCGAGCATAAATTCAACTGATCATGTACTTGCACAAGTCCATGACATATCTCCTAATGAGATTTAAAAATACTCTGTTCCGTTATCTATATTTGCATGTATGTGAGTCAATTTTGTCAATATTTATTTTTTGCAATGGCTAAAAATATAATTTCTCTTTTTTTCTTCTTCCTGTTAAACACCTTTAAAAGATGTATTTGGATTGGTATTTTTTGAGCCCAATGACACGTAGGAATTAAGAAGTGGTATAGTAGGAAACTAAGTAGTTCTTTGTAGAAAATATTAACAGCTGTTACAGTTGTACTTGATGGATATAGAGTAGTACTTAGTTAGTTACATAATTAGTTAGCTAGGACTACGTTAGAAGATAGCTAGTTGTGAAGTAGTATAAATAGGCATGTACATACACATTGTAATCAAGATTGAAGAAATACAATTGAGTCTCTCTCTCTCTCTCTCTCTCTCTCTCTCTCTCTCTCTGTAACCGACTCAAGCTCCAGCTTCATTTTCCTATTAGAGCCACCAATCGGTGGAGTTTTGAGATGAAGAATGAGCAATTGAGAACAATCGATGACCGGAGAATGATATTCCGAACATAGCAAACCCTAATTTCTGCCATTGTTGTGTTGTCCGGAGCTTCTTCTTTCTTCACAAGTTTTTGTTTTTCCTTTTTGTGATCCCAGAGTTAGTTCAATTTCTGGAACCCTAAGCTCCTTGTAGCTGCAGTTGCAAATCGCTCTAAGCATTTCTGGTAATTTTGTGCAAATGTCGACTGACACTGAAGATTCGACACCTACAACTGGAGATCCAGTCGAAGGATTCACCGATATTCACACAAGGAATCCTATGTATCTACATCCATATGATATTCTAGGTTGTATCCTAATCCCTCAACAGTTAACTGGCATAGAAAATTATACTGCATGGAGTAATTCTATGAAGGTTGCATTGTTAGCAAGAAATAAATTAGGGTTTATTGATGGTAGCTGTCGAAAGGAACATTACAGAGGAGACCTAGTATATGAATTGGATAGGTGCAATGCTTTTGTCCTGTCATGGATCGCCAATTCAGTATCAAGGGAACTAAGAAATGGATTGATGTATTCTTCTAATGCTCATAAGGTTTGGATGGACTTGAAAGAGCGTTTTGATAAAAGAAATCTTACACGAGTTTATCAGTTACATAGGGAAATCTACACAATGACATAAGGAACTTCTACTATATCTGAATACTTCTCTAAGTTCGTAATGTTTGGGATGAATACCTTTCATTAGTTCCACTGCCTGGGAGTGACAAGGCTTATGCAGATCATATGGAACAACAGAAGCTGATGCAATTTTTAATGGGCTTAAATGAGATATATGCACAGTCACACACTCAGATTTTGATGACAGTTCCAAGTCCATCACTGAACCAAGCCTACAATATCCTCATGCAAGACAAAAACCAACGAATGCAACCCAATATGATAACACAATGTGTTCAGTAATCACAAAATTTGGACTTGAATGACCCTACAGCTCTTGCTGCTATGCAGAACAACAGGTTTAAGAAACCAATTAGATTGTACTGTGATTATTGCAATATGAAAGGACACAAAAGGGAGAATTGTTACATATTTATTGGGTATCCACCCAATTTTAAGGCTAACAAGAAGAAAGGTTTTGAGAGGCCACAACAGTTTGGAACCAACAAAGGACCTTCAGTTAACATTGCCAATTACTTGTGGCATTCAGTTGCATCAGGCTCCAATATCTCTGCTCAGCCATCTACTCAGTATATGCCAATGCCTACTTTCACTCCTAAACAGTATCAATAGATCCTACAGCTGATCAACAAGCCAGTACCCTCACAGGAATCAGTTGCTAATATGGCTGGTATATCTAATTGCTCTAGCGTTAGTTTATCTTGAGGCACTGAATCCATTCTATGGGTGGTTGACACAGGGGCAACACATCACATGGTTTCTAGCTTGAATATGTTGCTAAATCCTGAACTAATTACACTTAATGCTAGCAAAGTTCATTTACCAAATGGTCATGCGACCTCTGTTATACATGTTGGTTCAGTTTCACTGTTTAATGATGAACTAACAAATGTCCTCTATGTCCCCCTTTTAAAATATAACCTTTTGTCTATCTCAAAACTAACCAAACAACTGCAGTGTTGTGTGGGTTTTTATCCTGATTTTTGCATCTTTCACGACCTTTGCACTGGCAAGGAGAAGGGGATTGGTAAGGAAAAGGATGGTCTATACTTACTTCAACTTACCAAGAAGCTATCACCTGTCAAAGCATCTGTTCCCAGTGCTTCAGTTTTCCCTGTGTCTTCTTAACATTGTTTCTTTTTTGCTCAATCTAATCAATTCTCTATGTGACACCAGAGATTTGGTCATGCACCAGCTGCTGTTCTTCAGAAAAATCCGTTTTTACAAAGTCACTTGTCCCATAAAAGAGTCTTTGTCTTGTGCACTTTGTCCTTTGGCAAGACAAACTAGGTTTTCATTTCCTACTAGTACTTCTAAAACCGTCTCTCCTTTTGAGCTTGTACATATGGATGTGTAGGGTTCATATAGACAATGTACTTACAATGGTTATAGATATTTTTTACTATTGTTGATGACTATTCTAGAATGACTTGGGTTTATTGGATGAGAAGGAAAAGTGATGCATTTTTTTAAGTGATGGCTTTCTGTGGCAACCTCTTTTTCACCACCAATTTAATTAATACATACTATCTTCAAGATGAAAGAGAGTTGGTTTTGGGTGGATCAATAAGAAACCCAAGTAGCAATTTTATAGAGCCCCACAAAATGACACTTGCTTTTATCAATATAAAGTAGGCAAGCAGCCAATCATGCCTCATTTATTCGAATAATTGATGAAATACGTATTCCTATAGATACTGTTACTTTTTAGAGCCGCACAAGTAATTTTGAATTAGGATTTTGCTTATCAATATTGCGCATTGTTAATTTTTCAAACTTTCTTCATGTTATTGACCGCACAAAATAATTCTTGAGTTTTTTGTTAGAAAATCTTTCACCCAAAAGGGTACTCGATGTAAAATATTTTACATCCAAGTAGATAGAGGCTAAATATGTAAAAAGGTTTAAAAAAAACAAAAAAATAAAGGGCAGCAAGTGAACAAAGCATCTCGGGTTCACATAGGATGCGGGGTAGGGCCACACTCCAAGAAATGTGGTATAGATAGTCTACTCTAATGCAAGCATTATTGGCCGCTTCCACGGCTCTAAAATGCACTGGAATACCATGGCCAAATAGTCAAAATATAGTACTATAGGGACAGAACTTAAAGAATGCCAAACATGAAGATCACTTCAAGAAAGATGTGGCTCGTGATCCTTGTCCTGATGTTGATGTTTCATTTTAGGCTCATCTTATGAATTCATCTTTTCTATAGTACATTGAGATTGATGTTTTTCTTGGACATTATTAGATTGAGACTTCTATGAATGAGAAGGAAGTTTTAGATTGTGGGATTTCCTAATACATTTTGGTTCAAATGAAAAACAATCCACAAAAATATCATTATCTCAATATACAAAAGTGATTTCTCTTCTTATGGTCGAAGCTTAGAAGATCAGCAAATTTCTCAAAATTAAGTAGCGCTAGCAAAGTTGAAAAGAAAATGCTGAACAGTCTTAGTATGCTCAATTATTGAAGTATGTTTTTAATCATTATTAAGTAGAGAAAAATAGGATTGCACTTTTGGACACAGATTAATAGTAAAGAATTGAGTTAATAACAAGGATGGGACTCTTAACGAAGCGTGATTGTTAATAACTCAGAATATCCTAAGTCCTAACTATGAGTTATAAAGAAACTAGTTGGGACTCGTTTATTAAGCATTCCACGTGCTATGTTTCTGTAATGATTATCCAGTACGTAGTAGGGACTTCAAGTGTAATGAAATTTCTAAAGCCCATATGATTTAACAATGGGAACGTTTGCAATATACAAGGGAAGTAACACATTTGCCTGTCGGCTAAAAATTATATATTTGCTAGCTAAATATACAAAAATATGTATATTATATATATATATATATATATATATATATATTGCCGGCTATTATTTTTAGGAGCAGCTATACCATATATTTTGCCGAAACCCAGAATTTTCAAATTTACTATCGGTTTAAATCTATTTTTTACGAAATGATAGAACGCAGATGGAAACTCACTCAATCGTATAGCTTGTTTGGCCAAGCTTCTCCAAACTAAAAACACTTTCTCCAAAAAAGTATTTTTTTTTCAAAGTTAAAGTGTTTGGCCAAGCTTTTAAAAGAAATAAAAGTGCTTTTCAGTAGAAACAAAAGCAGTTTTGGAGAAGAAGAAAAAAATAACTTCTACCCAAAAGCACTTTTGAGAAAAATACACTTAAAAACACTTATTAAAAGCTTGGCCAAACACTAATTGCTACTCAAAAGTGTTTTTCAAATTAATTACCCAAACACAAACTGCTTCTCACCAAAAGTACTTCTAAAAAAAGCACTTCTCAAAATAAGCTGATTTTAGAAGCTTGGCCAATCAGGCTATTAGCCATCTTTGTAATTGGACAAAGACCTTTTGTAGTGAGCAGATTTAGGGAAATTACAGAAACGTGCCTGATGGATTTTCACATTAGGGACAGATGGATGTAGCCACAATAATAGTGAAGATTGAAGAAAGTAATATCTCTATAGCTACTCAGCAGTAGTAATACTTTTTCTTTTTGAATTTGAAAGGAGGTGTTCTACTTCCTTTAACAGGAATGTCCGCTTCATTCTTTTAGTCAGTAGAAAGCAAAATTGAAGACACAATGACTCACTTGAGGCATGATCAAGATCAACTACTGCATTGTGTTTATGTTAGTGATATCATAAATTAACTATTTCTTCAAGGCTCTCAATATAACTAGTATATTCATCAAGATTAGCTATACCGAGGCATACATAGGAAGAGTAGCCGCACCTTTGAAGTAACAAAAGAAGTTGGCTCTTCCCAATGCCTCTACATCTTGGATGAGAGGGCCCATATTCATGCATACCAACAAGCAAGCTCTCTACATGCTTGTGATGAGAAACCCAAGCAAACAAATTTGCTACAGCATGTAAACCTGCTATTTCACTTGTTCTCTTGCTCGCCAGGACGCCGATATGGCAAGTATCTGTGGTCTTTTGCAGCATTCTTGCGCCTTTTCTTCTCGATATATGCTTCCAGTTTGCCTGATGCTTTGAGTTCCTTGTATTTCTCAACAAGTTTGCGCTGCCGAATTTCAGATTTTTTGAGGTAATAAGGTTGTTTCCCTTGCTTAGCAGCTTCTCTCTCTTTCTTCTTATGCTCTGCCAAAATCTCTCTCTCAGTGTGTTTCAATCCTGCCGATTTCAATTGCTTGTCAATCCAACCAATGCGATTTTTCAGTTCACTTATCTCTTCCGGATCATTTGATTTCCTCATTTGTTTCTTCAGATCCTCTTTTTCTGCTGGAAGATCATCCTCGTAAAGAAAATTGTATCTCTTTTTGAATCCATCTTCGTCAAGCTGGCCACATAAAGACTCAAAGCGAGGGTCACGAGTAACCTTTTTAGGGACTTGGATAATTTCCCTAAATCTGCTCACTGGCTTCTTGCTACTCATCTCCACTGGCCTGTTCTTGTTTGCTCGGCCACTTTTTCCTTCAGAACTAAACTTCCTATACACTGTATCCGACCCATCAGACCGTGCTCTCTGCAATTCCTCAAAGGTCACATCAGCAAGCTCCTCCTCTATCTCCTTCTCCTCCTCATCTTCAGACGAAGATTCATGTTCATCAGAGTCTTCAAATTTGATTTTACTTGAACTTGCAACAGCTGGCCTGTCTTTTCTCATCTCAACAGTTTGATTCCGCTAGAGAAAAACAACTTCAGAACTTCGCTGCACAGAGATGGAGAAGTTAGAGGAGTAAAGAAGAACCTCAACAACAGTAGCATATAACACAAACCACTAATTAAAACAAAAGAATAAGTATTCTGTCCAGTATAGAGAATAAGCCAATGCTAATTCCAGAAAACATGACTGAAATGCAAGTAAACACTTAAATCTAAGTCAATTAATTTTTTCTTTGATGACAATGGTGTTTGATCCAGCTTGCAGCACCTTAAGAGATAGTGCATTCAGTTGAACCAAGTTTTTCCGACAACATACATATTTATATGTGAAAAGCCACTAAAATTTCAACAAATATTTAATTATCAACCCATAATTTAAAAAATACGATGTGACAGTGCTAAGAACTTCAAAACTAGAACTCTTCAAGCTTAAATTCCTGGATCCACCTTTGAGCACCTAGCTCGACTAATCCACCAAGCAGCCTACTAAACCTCCCACAAGCAGAAGTGCCAAGTCTAGACCTACCCACAGAGTGTTGTAAGTAACTAGGAAGTGAGTTTGATATCTCGATGTTACTACTCCTATGCCTCGGGGACTTTAAGTCAATTAATTCAACAGCTAGGATACATTTAAACAGACGAAAAGCAAGATTTTCAAAAGAAAAATTGAAAAGCCAACACAAAATGAAATGCCATTCTGAAACCAAGACAAGTTCTTCGTATCATAATAATGGCAGTCACATTCTATTTCAGCTAATGCAAATAACGCTTAAAGAAAACGACAATAAAGAATGAGTTTTTGACAAATTTCTCATACTTCCTTTAACAGAAGATGCATACATATAATGAAACTGGGTAAGCTTTAAGACACCAATTCACACAAACAAAATCAACAAAAAGCAAAGTTACATCAATCCAATCATCTAATATGAAAAAAACAAAAGAGGAATGCGAAATTTTCACCTTCGGTAAGAGTGGCGTGTATAGAGACTCGAGTTGATGATGTCCTAAGGAGAGAGAGAGAGAGAGAGGGGGTTATAGACAAAAACCCTATTGACGGGTTAGGCTCGGCCCAATTCATATGGTAACAATATACAAGAAATTGCAAAATAAAAAATAAAAAAGGCACAAAAAATTATTCCCCATCAAAATTTTATTTAATTGTATAATTTAATTTAATTTAATTTTGTCTAATAGATTTATCTAGCTGGACAAACGTAAAACTAGACCACCTACAACTCTAGTCGTTTGGTACGATGGAAAGGCAAAATAGTTTTTGGGATAATAATTTAGTACCACTTTATTTCTTGTTTAGTTACTAATCCTGGGATAAGTTATCCCAAAATTAAAATAAGTATTAGAATAACTTATACATGCCAGAGGATGGAATAGATCCCAAGATAAAGCAGCAAAATTGACAGTACCAGAATTAATACAACATACCAATCAGTCAAAACGATAAATATCAAAATAACTAATTTCAGCATAACTTATACATATGAAAAGTATAATAATCTCGGGATAAAGTTTTTGATTAACTTTATGACATGTTTGGTTTGGAATATTAGCTAATTCCGTGATGACTTTTACACTAAGGGGTCATTTGGTATGAAGTATAAGAAGGTATAAGGGTGATATAAAAATTTAATACCACCTTAATACTCTATTTGGTTAGCAAATCAGGTATAAGTTATCCCGGTGTTAATTTTAACATTGGGATAACTTATACCTTATAGAAGGTGGGATAATTAGCACCGGTATAACTTATACCTTCTTCTTAGAAATTATGCAATTGCCATTCTTAATACAACATACCAAACAATAAATAAACAACAATCCCAACATAACTTATCCCAATATAATTTATACCGGCATAACTTATACCGGTATAAATTGTATTCCAACCAAACGACCCCTAAAATAGTAAAATTAGATATCCCATATAGAAGGTGGGATATTTAATCCCGTGGGATATCCCACACTATAGAATATCCTGGGAGATCCCACTATTGTACCAAACAATTCCTTATTGCTATTAGCTTTTCTATGAAAGAAAAAAGATGCCTTACTTACGTCCAAGTATTATACAATGACAATATAAAGAATAAAAATTCGCGCTCAGTGTAAAATGCTAAGTCCATGGCAAATGAGAACAGCACAGAACTAGCGGAGTTCTCTCTTTACATATACAACATAATCCAAAGATTTAATTACATATAGATACAACATAATCAAAAGATTTAACAGTGTCTGCTGCTATTCAGTGCCTCCATCCCTTTGAATGGCCATCCTCCATATAAGGCTCAAGAAAACCTATAAACCGCATATGCAATGGAAATGTCTTAGTCACACCAACTAATTTTGAAATAAGCAAACCTTACTTTTCATTGACATGTAATCTAATGCTCGTGGAAATCTAGTAATCTATGTTAGTCTTATGTGATATATAAAGTAAGCGTAGCCTTGGAGTAACAGTAACTCGAGCCGTGGAAGCAGCCATTAATGCTTGCATTAGGGTAGGCTGTCTAGGGTGCAGCCCTTCCTCCGACCCTACATAAACGCAGGATGCCTTATGCACCGGCTGCCCTTTTTTATGTGATATTTAAACAAATATAGGAACCTTTAGCACTGCGTACGGGTGTATGTACCTTACTTCCATCTTTGGACCACCGTGCACCATAACCATTAGCAACTCTTATCTCAAAAACAACCCCATGTGGGGGAACAATATGCACATTTATCCAACAGCAATGAGTTATTAAATCACTGATGACATCCAGGGCGACCCTATTTTTATCGGAATCTGAAAAAGAAAAAGTTGAGATAGTAGCTTCTTAAGAGGACAAAATAATCGCACAAAGAGGATTCTTGCTAGCAATATGTGATTTTATTTATATTTCCTTCCCCACAACAGAGAGGTGCAACATCTTGTAGAGCGAAAGATTACTCCACCTGAAGGCAAAAAAGTCAGCAGAAATAAAGAGTCCAGCTAAAATGCACCCATGTATAGCACATTATTGGTTTGTCTCATGGGACAGGTGATGCCAGGAATTGGCTTCTAGAAGCACAATGATACTCGCAAAAGAAAATTAAGAAGAAAAATAACAATCATAGCTCAAGCATTAGAATCTCACATGCAACTCAAGAATGTTTAGATTGTATGGCCCTGGAATGAGGAACTAACCACTTCCAGAAAAACTACCCCAGTAGCTGTCGCTGCTCCTGTTTACATGCTTTGACATCGCTCTAGCTCCATCGGTCAATGTAGAACCTTTAGCCTGTTTCAAAGACAAGATACCTTAGAGTTACTCACCTATGCAAATATGAGCAGATCTCATTGGAATGCTCCTGCTAACAGTAGATATGAGCATTTTTCTAGCATTCAGTATTGCCAGTAAATCCATTGGCATACCACATGAGGAGATTGTAATGATTTAACTCTAGTTACCTCTCCTAGCTTTGGATTAGGACCAGGTCTGTGCTAAGCTTCATTAACTGTTTTTGCTATCTTCTTCCTCTCCTACTTTTTTAATAGGTTAACGTATTATCCACCATCCCTCAATCTATCCCTCCCATAAACACAAAATATTAGTAAAAAAAATGGAAAGCAAAATGGTATATATTTAAACATTGGATGAACATTAGCAAAGATTCTCAAATTATTTCAGTATAACGAGTTCAACTCCTGTCACCTCTTTCTATCAAGTGGACCTTTTAAAAATAACTAACTTGTGGTGACTTATCTGCCATATGAAATCACAAGCAGAAGAGTTTGCTTCTATTAGCCAAGAAAATGCAGCAAAGAGAAGAGGTTGATGGAGCTTCAGAAGCCATGTAATACAGTTTTCTCTTCTTGCTCATCTTAATGTCTCAATTTACTTCTACTGAAAAAATGCCATCTCAGTTATCCTTTACTTTCAGCAATTATAATAACAGCAAACAGTTAATTTTCAAGGAAAAAACTTAGCTACCGGCAGGGACTATTTTGCATGGAGAAAAACCAACAACATAGTCATCACGTTGTATCATACATTTGGATTATGTGGCAACAAAAATGATGAAATTAGAGTAGATGCTGCCGGTGGAAGTGCCTCAGAAACTGTTCCAACTGTACATACAAATCCTAGAAGCCTCTGAACACCTGCATAGCTCAGTTCCTGAATGAAATTAGAGACTCGAATCAGGAATAGAAAAACATCTCGGCTATCTCCATATGTTGCTGATGAAACTTTGTAGTCTTAACACAGATGTTAAAAATTGGATTTGATCCCAAAGCAGCTATACCAAGGGCAAACTGGTGCACTATTAAAGCACAAACAGTTGTAGGAGAACAAGCGTGTTACCGATAATAGAAGATAAAATTTGTGTGTGATCTCAAAGCAGATACACCTAGGGCAAATTTATGCAATATCAAAGCACATACAGTTGTAGGACAAGCAAGTTAATAAGAATGAAGAGGAGCAGAGATGCAGATGGACAAAATACAAAGAATTGTTTAGAGAATCTGAGTTGTTCTTGTTGGATGATTTGATGCAACTTCTCAGAAACATGTATACAGCGGCTATCAAGTGGCTTACAACACCCATAGAAGCAGCGTCAAGTATTGAAGTAGTAAGAAATCATATGTTATGTGAATTAAGGACAGTATACATCCAAATCCGCTTTCTGAATCTATTTATCTTGTGAAAAAGACCGGCCCCCATTACAAAAATAGTTGGCTTATGCATATCACTCTCTTGGACTACAAAATATGTTACTACATATATGAGGTGGATTTGGAGAGAAGGGAAGGTCAGGAAAGTATTAAGTCCTAGCTTTCTCTCAGGGAAGGTGTCTCTCATTTTTGGGACCAGCGTAGAAATATCTTTATATAGATAGAACAAGTTATTGAAAAAAATAGATCAAAAACCATTTCTAACTTTCAGGAGAACACAACTGCAGTGGTAGCACTATGTCATTTTCACATGATCTAATTATTGAATCTCCAATGTCAAGATAAGTAGAGCTGAAAGCATACTCACAGAAAGCATGGAGCCCAGACAAATGGAAGGCTGAGAAACCGGCTTCTCAACACAGATAGCGAGAACACCATTTGACCTTTCTTTCTCTTCTGAGTAAAATTTACGGTAAACTTGGACACCTGAAATTTGCATGTTTAAAATATAGCATTCACATAAGGAATATCCATCAGAAAGAGTTATGAATTGATTATCCATTTTACTCATTGCAAGCATTGAAAAATTAGCTAGTAGCAGAAAGCAACAAAGTCCAGTATATTATTAGCCTCACCATCTCTCCATATATACAGATAGAATATGGCTCTACCTATTAATGGAAAACAAGACAAATGAAGGTTTTCACCTTACATATCAGTTATCACTTGAACATATTGCTTTCCACTTAGCAAGCTCTTGAGCAGATGAGGTCCTCAAACGGTCCCATTATATTCCAATTTTCTCTAGTAACCTTCAAGAACCAACTATAAAAACTTGGCTTTTGAACTCTGATGGCAAACAGGCTATAAGAAACCAAACTAAGGATGACAGTAGTTATTTAACAACATTTCTTGTTTCGAACTACAACATATGTGTCTTTCACTCATTAGAAACAGCTATACTTTTTTGGGAGTTAAAGGTAGCAAAATGGTGAGTAGCATCAGATGCGAGTTGAAAAGAGATTGAGAAGGGAAGCCAGGATTTTTAAGATAGGGATGAGCAACATGTGTACAAGCATGCATTACCCTGTAGGTAAATTTCCAAGGAGCGATGCAGGGAGGAGAACTCCCCTTGACTGTGGAGAGTGGATCAAATAAACAATGATCTAACAGATGATATTACTCTTAGTTGCGAATACAGATATTTGGTAAACATATAATCATACAATATCCTTTAATCATCTTCCAAACATATTAGAAGTGCCTACAGACGTGCAAGATATGGAGTGAGAAGTAACATCCTCAATACTATATAGTAAGAGATTTTAACCTTCTTCAACAGTATCCACTCCAGGAAGAAGGTCTTGAAGATTCTCTGCTTCTAGCATCTCACAAAATGAATGATAATGACGGACATCCTGCAAATTGGCATTTTATTCAGTTGACTATAAGAAGTACCAAGGTGATACATAAAAAAAAAATGTAGACGTCGAATGTACCTGAACTTTAAGAAGTAAACATTTATTGAAGAGGATGAAAGCTCCTGGTTTAATTCTAACATCCAAAAAAAGACATCATCTGAGAGAGGAAGAGGGAAGGAGAAGAAAACGTTTTTTAGAAGATCAATGTATCAAAGCTGCTTCCAGTCATTTTAAGCAAGTTTCTACTTTTAAAATGAAAGGATAGCTCTCGAAGTTGAATTGTGGGGGTTCTAGTGTCAAGTCATTTGAAGAAAAACCAGGATTAACTTTTTGGCAAAGCACTAAAAGTGGTTTTATTATAAAATGAATATCGAAATGTTACTGGAGAAAAAGTGAAACAAATAATACAAGCAAACATGTTAAACAGAAAACTACTACTAACAAATAAGGTCCTCGTGATCTAAAACATTAGAGATGGAAATTCTTCCTTTAATGATAACTTTGATTAGGTTCAGTATAATACAACCATACAAGACTCCTTCAGCATGCTCTTCAGAGCATCAAATTCATATGACAGGGAAAATTAAGAGTTAACCAAAGATAGTTTTGCTAATGGATGCTAAGAATAGTATTTTGGCACATGATTTGATTGATTGGTAACCTATTTTGGCATACAATTTAACTGATTGGCAACCTTGACAGTTAGCATTAAGCACAACACATTTACCAAGTATACGGTAGTAGCAAGTCATAATGAAGTCATACTTATTATAATGTCCAACAGCACATCTTCCTTCAATTGTTTTCTGCCCATCTGCAGATAATTTGAAAGACTACGACTGCTAAGAGAAAAATGCATTAATGTTTCGCCAAATAAAATCTTTGACGAAATCGGCATATGATGTTTCGCCAAATAAAATCTTTGACTTCCTTTTCTCGTACCTGTTTGAAGGCTCCTGCCTCTACCCATTTAGTAAAATAATCAGTAAATACGAGCAGAAATTTTACCTGTCCTTTTGCTCGTGGTAATGGACCCACGATATCCATTACCCATTTCATGAATGGCCATGGTGCGATGACCGGATGTAATAATTCGCGGGTCTATGCATGTTGTTACCGTACCTTTGACATTTATCACATTTGGCCACGAAACTTTCCGCTTCTTCTTCCATTTTTGGCCAGTAGTAACCTGCCCTGATTAAAGTTCTTATCAATGATCTTCCTCCGGCGTGATTTCCACAATGTCCCTCGTGTATTTCCTTCATCACGTACTCTGTTTGAGAAGGACCGAGGCATCTAGCTAAGGGGCCACCGAACATTTTACGATATAGGTTGCCTTGATTTAAACAGTAGCGAGCAGCCTTTTTGCGAAGTGCATGGGCTTTTTTCTTGTCATCAGGGACGGTTCCATACTGCAAAAAGCTACAATCTCGTTCCTCCAATCCCAAGTTAAATTATTAAAATTTACCTCATTCTTGTCAGGGTCGAGAACTGAATGAAATAAATGAATAACTGAGGTGTTTGCATCGCTTGCCACGTCAGCCGCAGATGCGAGATTAGCTAAAGCGTCTGCTTCAAGATTTTCATCCCTTGGTATTTGTGTAACTTTCCAGGTTTGAAATTGCTTTATTAACTCCCGCACCTTTTCTAAATATTGCTGCATCCTTGCTTCCCTGGCTGTATAAGTCCCCAGCATTTGATTAACCACGAGTTGTGAATCACTCTTGATTATAATCTGGTTTATGCCAAGTTCTCGTGCCAATTTTAAACCTGCAATCACAGCCTCATACTCTGCCTCATTGTTAGTTATTGAATGACATTTGATAGCCTGTCGAATGATTTCACCCGTAGGTGGTACCAAAACAATCCCTAAACCTGCTCCTTTTACATTAGATGAACCATCAGCTAGGGGTGTGCATTCAATTTATCGATTCGATTTTGACCCTTATCGATTATCGATTTGTACATATGCTTATCGTTATCGTTTCAATAAGGTTTCGATTTTTTCGATTTCGATTTATCGATTTTTGGGGCTTATCGATTCGGTTATCGATTACACCAATAAGAAAATTTGCGGGATTCCACGGAAAGTATATCGCTTTAAACACGCCTAACTAATATGGACCAAAAGAAGCTAAAATAAGACGAACACCGTTTATAACATAAAAATTGTGTCAACAAGCATATGCAACGAAACTAAAGTAAGGGATCAAATGTATGCCACCAACACTCCAACGGTATAAAAAAAAATACATCATCACGGCTAATTCTATTTTCCATTAATTTGAACTTCATTCCCTTTAGCTTTAAATATGATCATTCCTTAAATATGGTAGATGAAATAATAGGGTTAGGGACATAGGGTAAAGGAAAGGGTANTTGACGATAGCATATGTCTCAGAAAAAGGGGTAATGTGATTAAACTGACTTTCTTGTTGGATCGACTGGTGGTATTCGGGTTTGCTTGGTGGCACAGGGAAATTTTAGCGTATCCATCGTGGAATGATTGGGTATTAAAGGTGTGCATGTGTTCGGACGGTGAAATTGGGATCGGATATGATGATTCATGTGCCGTGTGGATGTGGAGGCGGAAGTTCTCATGTGCAGGCTATGATGTGGTTGTAGATCGTGTGTATCGGCACTGTTTAGCAACTACCGGGATTTGGAGGCCCGAGTGGATCTTTCTTTGCTTGGTATGTTGGATTTTGGATATGATGTTGGGGTGTAGACTGGTTGTCTCAGTGTTGGGTTATTCTGGACTATTGCGCTATGGGCTATGCCGGAAATGCCACGGGATGAGTGGCGAGGTACGTTGGGTTATGTTCTAGCAGAGTGGTTTATATTTCAAGGATCCAGCGGACGGCTGGGAAGGATTGCTTTTCTTAATTGGGCCTTCGTGATGGATGTCAGTGCAGAGGTTTCTACCATTGATCCAGTTCCGATGTTGAGGGACTTTTCGGATGCGTTTCTTGTGGCCGGGCATGTCGTCGGGCAAGGTTGTGGATTTCGGTGTGTATTTTGTGCCTTGTATCATATCGTATAGCATCGGCAAAGTTATTAAAGTGGAAGGAGCAACTTCAGGCCTCCTTGTTAATGAGTTCGTTAGCAGGCCAATGTGGATGCGTGTTCTAGCTTGAGTCGGCTTGGTTGGCCCCGAATTGTATTGTTGAGGGATAGGTTGATTCTATCGTTATTGAGCTTGTTAGTGATCTGGGGAGATCTATGAGTTACTTTTTGTGTTGCGAGACGTTATTATTTGTTGGTTATGGGCACATATGGTGCGGTTTCATTGGGGTTTCATAGTGGAAGTTGAGCCGGAAGAGTAATTGGGAGTTGCTCGGTGAATGACGTACCGGTTATGTTCTACCGGGTTTGCATGGTGTATGTTATTTTTTTCACCGTGGGTGTAATGATTTGCTTTGGTTCCAGACATCAATTGAGCATGGTTGTGGATTTCGAGCATAGTGACTTGAGGTGTTTCATGTGGAGCAGTATTTGGATAGGATCGCGCGTTGCAGCAAAGTTGTGTGGAAATATGACCTTGCGGGTCAAATTTGTGTGTTCTATTTCTATGATGTGAGACGGGTTCTCAGCCATGTAATGTGATGATATTGGTGAGCTTGCGGTACGACTCTTTCGTTTGAGTCAGTTTCATGATGTGAGTATGTTCGGATTGTTTCTTATTGGTGCGCGGCTGCGCAGTTGTGAGGAGCACTAAAGCCATAAAATTGTATTCTCTTTTACCCGAAAAATTCTATAATTCTTTTGCTGAGCTTGAAGATTCCTTTCATCAAAGCACAATCAGGAGCCCAAAAAGTCGAAAAAAAGAATGAAGATAATTTTTCAAGTCAAACAACGGGACTGCATAATTGCTTAGGTGAATTTGTGGACAATTTCGCGTGAAAGAATGACATTGCCACGTGTACCGTGAATACTGGGCAGCTATAGCATTACGAGCAATTCGAATGAAAAAAGCTCAGAAGCTACGGGCGACTAAAAGGAAGCCTTCGAGGATTCCAGCTAGCACATGGAATGATGTTTACAATCGTTATGCACAAAATTGAGGATTTGAAAAAGATATTATTTCACGACATCAAAAAGAGAAAGAGTAAGTCGAGGATGGGCTGAAAACGAAAAAGGCTCCGGTAAATTACATGTACGACCAATCATGGGACCTGCGGGAAGAGACTCACTAGTCAAAGCTCGTGGATAATCAGCAGGTCGATCACAGGATTCAAGGAATAGAGAGTCAGGCCATCTCAAGATTTTGGAGTGACCGAAGGACGTAGAGCCACAGTACAAATGATATGAGTTAAAGGCAAGGTTTGGAGGTTTATAATTTTCAACGTCAGCAATTGCTGAACTCGTTGCTGTTTTAAGAGCATGGGAGATAGGTCACGGTGGCCAGGAAATGAGAACAAATCCAAAACAACAAAACCCTGATTATTCGGTTGCGAATTTTATAACGACCATGTCCAGGCATATCAATCGCAACTTCAGGTTTTGTGCAGGGTAAGTTGATCATTTGTAAAACAAGGATATCTCACTGAACTATTTAGTGAGAAAGGCAAACAAAGCATACATGGAAGAACAGGTTAGGAGCCTCCAAAACCACCTTCTCCAAGAGACTGTCAACGTATAATAGGGTGAAGAGATCAACGACGTATCATATAAAAAGTTTCTAAAGTAACAATTACCCACGGGAAGCGGCCTCGACATGTCTTGGAGGGAGAAAATATTACGTTCGATGAGCAGATGCCGAGGGTCTATTAACTCACAATAACGACGCACTGTAATATCTTTACTTTATATGACACTTGATGTGAAAACGAGTTTTTAATTGATCCAGGTAGTTCCGTGAATATTATTTTGGTAAGAGTATTACGTAAGATGCAAGCTGAAGATAACATGATACAAAGGCGCATAACTCTATCTGGATTTGATAATTCTAGTGTTGTCATAAAAGGAGAGGTAATGCTCACCACATTCGCTGAAGGAGTCGTCAAAGATTCAAAGTTCTAGGTGGTAAATATGGAGATGGCTTACAATATGATTCTTGGGAGACCATGGATCCACGAAATGAATGTTGTTCCTTCAACTTGCATCAAGTCATTAAATTCCCAGCGCCATGGGGAATCTGTCAAATCAGGGGAGATCAACGACATCAGGCAGAGCATCAACTCCGTGGCAAGATCAAGTACGAAGGGTGAAGAAAATCAGCAATTACAGAATCTAGTTGAGGATAACATATTGTCACCTCAACTGAACAAGAGCAAACAGATGTAGATTCAAGGCCCGATTCCATTCATGAACCGGAATGAAAATTGAAAACATCAAAAACGACGATAGAAGAGCTGGAGGCCTGTGGTTTTGTTTATACACTGGACAGAGAGAAAAGAGTATATAGGAGCCAATCTTAGCCCAGAGGTGAACGTAAGTTTATTGAATTTTTGAAAGCTAACGAGAATTGTTTTGCTTGGTCCCATTCTGCATGACAGGGATACCACCGGAAGGTGATGACTCATAAACTAAATGAAGATCCATCATATCCCCAGTCAAGCAAAAGAAAGAAAGCAAGGAACTTTCAAGAATCAGGTGATTCAAGAAGAGGTCCAAAATCGCTAAAATTGGTTCTATTCGTGAGTAAAGTACCATAACTGGTTTAGCTAACACGTGTTGTAGTTCAAAGAAGAACGGTAAGTGGCGGGTTTGCGTAGATACACAGATCTTAATAAAGCCTGCCCTAAAGATTCTTTTCCACTCCACACATAGAATCATTGATTGATGCAACTGCAAGTCATGAACTATTAAGTTTTTAATGCATATTCAGGGTATAATCAGATTAAAATGGATCCAGAGATGAAGAAAAAACTTCCTTCATAACAGACAGGGGGACTTACTGTTATAAAGTAATGCCCTTTGTCTAAAGAATCAGGAGCAACGTATCAGAGGTTAGTTTACTAAAATGTTTCAAGAGCATTTGTGTCACGACCCAAACCCCGCACTGGTCGTGATGGCGCCTCTCGTGAAGATGAGGCCACCAACTAACCTAACTCGTCTTTCCAAAAAATAATTTAAACATGAATAAACAGCAAAATATGACTTAATAATATTAATTAGCGGAAATACAACCCAACATATCCTTATCGGGGTGTCACAAGTCACGAGCATCTATTAGATGTAAGTACAACCACAAGATCTAAAAGTACACTAATCAAGAATAATGACAAAGGGAGAAGAACGATGCTGCGAAGCTGGCAGTCAC